TAATCTCCGCAAAATTAAAGTGCTGTCCGACAATATGATTTACTTCCTTTTTGCCAGTAAGCTTTGGCCATGTGAGAGGATTATTTGTTTTGTTTATCACAATACAAAGCTCCTAATGGAGCCCAGCGTGGGGACTGCGCTCTAATCCCTTGTTATCTCTCCGTGGCCGACACGTACAGCACACACTCCGTCCTCCTGCACAAGGAGCAGTAAGGGGGCAGCTACGCCGGCTCACCTTTAACTGGTAAATGCTGGACGCAATTACCTCAATCATGTCGAGACAAAATTAACACGGCTTTAAATTTGCGTGTGGCTGATGTGGTTGCCACAGCAACAGCCGTTAGCTGGCTCATGAGGCGGGGCGGGGATGGAAGGAAACACCCATTAGTCTAATCAGCCCTTCTTTCTCTTTCTGAGCGGCAGACTTCTTTCGTCCCCCTAAATGGACGAGGGGGGGGCAGGGACGAGGGGAGCGGGGGGGCTCCCTCTGTGAAGGGGACCAGGTTACGCGTGGTTGAGCTTTAGAGCGGAGAGGGTGGGGATGAGAGGAAGCGACAACTAAGGAGTGCATGTGTGTGCATGAGAGACTGGGTGGGAGGAGAGTGATGGAGGGTGGGAGGAGAGTGAGGGAGGGAGGAGAATCAGAGGCAGGGGGGGGATGCTCACTGGGAGTTTGCGGCACTCCGAGGAGCCGTGAGTGAGGCCAGCAGGTGAACGACCGATTTGAAAGCAGCAAGTGAACTGACACCGGAGAGAGAGAGAGAGAGAGAGAGAGAGAGAGAATAAACAGAGAGAGAGAGAGAGGGAGGGAGGGAGAGGAGGAGAGAGGGAGGGCTCTCCTGGAGGAGAAGCGCACAGACAGTGAGTCATCTGTCTGACTGCCGGTCAGCGTCCGGACTTCCCGCGGAGCGTCCAGCTGCCGCTGTGTGAGTACGCTTGCTGCTGATGTCGCTGGTGCGTCTCCAACCAGCCGGGGCGTGTTATGTAATTTGTTGTGGTGTTTTGGGATGAAGCCGTGGCTTAGTGATGCAAACTGATCCGCGGCAGGGGTCTCGTGTAGAAGTGGAACAGGCAGGTGTGTGTGTGTGTGTTCCTGGCACAGCATGCTCGTTGTGGGGGGGGCGAGTTTGTAATGGACTGGACGGGACGATTCTTCTGCCACTTTATTGTGTGTTTCGATGACGCCACAGTGGAGCACTTAAACCAGTTGTTGGGAATGAAAGCTTTTTCTTTCACACATATATGTATGTATGTGTATATATATACACATATGTGTGTGTTTTCAGAATCCATCTATATTGCATCATGTCTAATTAAGAGTCCGGGACAGATGATGCCCCTTGGTATCCCACGGGAGAGATGCTGCTGCTGCTGCTGCTGCTGGGGCTCAGCACCTTGTGCATGCTTATTGACCCTGCTGAGGAAGGGTCCATTTATATCGTTTTCTTTATTTTTTCATCCCCTATATTGTATTTTAGGTTCCGTGGAGAGATTTCCATCCCGGCCGTTGTCCAACTTGAGCATCTGCTTGTCTCATCCTCAGCACCAGAGCAGCCTACATTCACTCTACTAGAAAAACGCTTCGATTCGGGAGTATTTTGTGCGTCTGCTTGGTGCCTTTTTGTGTGTTGAAGGACACTTCCATGGATTTGGAGACATGATGCATATTTTATTGTGACCGCTGAAGCCCTCTTTGATCATCGCAGGTACAAAAGGAACATATTTAACTTTGCACCGTCACTGCTTCACAAGGATTTCCGATCCCTTTTCACAGCAAACAATCACTCGCCACTGGTCAACAGGGGACGCCGTTAAGTGGGGGTATCGACCGGGTCGTGTGGGGATGAATTGCCCCGGGGAGAGATATTGACTTTAGAGCAAAGGACAGTGGTATCGTTGGGTTTTGCATTAGCAAATGTGTTACTCGAGGGAGTTGGCAGCATTGTGTCCCTCGATCCCTCGAAGTTTTGCGAATAGCAGCTTATTCTCTGAAAGAAAGTAGGAACCTCCTCAGGGGACTATGATTTATTATTTTCTAGGCAGCAGTTTTATGTTTTTTTGAAAAGAGAGAATAAATTGTATATTGACTTTTTGTGTTTCCGACACGCTTAACTTAACCGGGTTGAACCCTTTACCACACATTTTATTAAAAGAAACCTGAAGACCGAAGGAGCAGTACATATAAACGCATTCTGTTGATGAATGCGAGCAACAACATCTCCCGGTGCCTTTCGTCTGTTCTCCTGCTTGATCCCAAACTGACGGAATGTTCTCTTTCACCTGTCTGATCGCAGGAAACAAGATGGGAATGAGCCACAAATGTCTGCGACGCTAGAGCCCCAGCTGCTGCAGCCTACGGCCCCGTGCACCACCTCGCCGTTCCACAAGGTAGGAGGAGAGCGAGCGGGGAGGAGGAGGGGGTTGAGTTGCACTTTGACCCCTGACCTTATCCCAGCGACCTCCGTGTGAACTTTGCTAGGCGTCTCTGCTCATTTTGTCCCCACGCCTGCTTCTCTCCGGGACATGCTCGCTGGGTTTTCTGTCTCCCGTGTAATCTGTCGTGACTGTTAAGACTCCGGCTTCCTGCTTTTTCATTCTCGTCCTCCTTTCAGCGCACGGAGCTTTGTGTCTGGGATGATCATCTTCGCCCGATTCAATTAATACAAATCTATTTTTATCAGGAAATTGTCAGCTTGATGACGAGATATTCTCAATGCAAGCCGAACGAGTCTGAGGCCATCGAAGCAGACAAAGTACAGCTTGTCTGAGGAGTCGTCATTGTTAAATCAAGAGACTTTGTCTCGCGTAGGATGCATCACTAGATTGGAAAGACACTAGTGTTCAATCTTTGTGTGGGGTTCAGTTGTTATCTAGTTGTGTCCAAGCAACGACCAAGTGTTATTTTAGCTTCGGTTAAAAATCACAATTTCATTTTTCTCCTGGTAAGCAAAGTATGTGTCAATTCCTCTTCTTCCAAACCTTTTTCTTTCAACCCGCAACGCCTGTTTGGCCACTTTGTGAGACTCACTGCCAGAAGGTCTCGTCGAGTTTTTCTCCAGTCCACTAAAATATTCACATTAGCATTTATGAATGTGCTTCGCTTGTTCTCTTGTTCTCCCGTTCAGAGGAGAGCATGTGAGGAAAGACTTAGATTGGAGGTGGAGAACACAAAGGGGCATCATTTCCATGAATCTATTTCAGGTCGTCACAGTACGCATCGCATCCACGAGGCTTTCTCAATCTTCCAGCCCACCTTTTGGCGCCTGCTCTTGCCATAATGAGCCGCTGACGCGTGAAACCGTCCACGACTCGCCTGGTTTTTCAGATATTTTTGGAACTCGGAAACGGAACAAAGCTGAGCTTGCTGGTGATTAAAAAGTGGATACAATCTCGCAGGCGTCAGATTGGTTTTCGCGAGGCCTCTTCCACTTTGGATGGGGCTTATGCTTCGCTCCAACTGACTTGATCTGAATAGAGCGGCGGGAGTGGGGAGAGAAAGGGATTAAAAGGGAAATGTCGAGGTGGGGGGGCGTTAAACAGTCCCCTCTGATCTCTGCCTCCGTACTTCAAACCTTTATTTCCAAACACTGGAAAGGTGTCAGCGGCAGTTGGCCAACGTTGTGTCTCCAAATCCCTGATTTATTCAACTCTCTTTTAATTTTGCCATTCAGTGTTTGATGAGAATATTGAGGCACAGAATGGTATTGTAGTGTATAGTACTGTAGTATAATAAGGGTTTAGTGGGTAAGACACAAAGGAGCATATCACTTTAATTCAGAGCCCTGCGGAAAGCAGGTCAATCTGCATTTAACCCCGGCAGGTCTTATGGTCGCTGATTCAAACTACTCCGGTGTGACAGCAACTAGGTGCATGTAGGTCATTTAAATCAGTAATTCCAGATGCTACTTTTCTCCCATTCAACATTTCACTTTTTACTCTACTGCATTTATGTGACATCATACATTACTAGTCATTCGTCACTAGCTGCAGGTTCAGACATTGGTGCAGCACAAATTATAATACAGACATGTTTTTATTCCCTAGATGTGCCACTCTGCACACTGATGCTTGGGTTAGTCTCTGTAGTTGACTTTTGACACATGGAAGAATTTTCAGTTCACTGCTGGATGCCTTCAAATCTCACCGTCTGAACCTTTTAAGTCAAAGATATTAATAATGTTGATTATTTCTGACAGATATTAAACACACAAATGTCAGTATTCTTATAGTTTGCTTCACAGTTTCCAATCACAAATCTAATGGAAAACCACGATGCATTTAGTTCAATATGTAAGGTAATTTTCAGAAGCTCCTGTGCTTAAAACAACACACTTTGAACAACGAGTGCCGTATAAACGCACACACCCTGCCTGGTGTTGCCTCACACTTTGGATTTTAGTGTTACAATACAAACTGTTTTCTCCAATAGTCCTCAATAAGCTCTTGATGACAGTAAGATCCTAAGCAAACAAAACTAAGAACCAGACATGCATCAAAGGAAAAGACAACCGGCATACTTAAGCCTTTTGGAGCCGGTTAAAGATTGAGTCGCCCTGAAGAGGAAGATGGTCTTACCATCTTACTTATGATGAGCTCCTCAGCTCTGGTAGTGAAAGGTGTAGAGCACTTGCACCTGCACTGATCCCCAAACCTCAACCTAATAACATTTACTCCTCTTTAAAAGCTCCACACCATTTGTTTCCAAGCTTATGATCTCCTAAATTCTCAATGTTTGCACCACTGCTCTATTAGTTTACGGTTCAGTGGCACTGCCCACACGCGGTAGTTCTCTTGTGAGCAGAAGTTTGTTCAAGGCACGTCAATGACAGCTAATTGTGCTCCACCCGCGGCCACCTGTCAAGATACGCCCGGTGATAAAGAGGTGGATCATTTGGAATTTGTCCTGCACTGCTACGTGGTGACTGAGAAGGACAAGACCTCGAAGGTCAGTGAGAGGATTACTGCTCCGACCTCCAAGCAGCAGCAGCAGCAGCAGCAGCAGCACGCGCCTTTGCATGCAACCTGAGACACACACGTGCCGATAGTGTTGTGTGTTTAGAGCACGACCCGGGAGAGCCTGCGGATCTCGTCTCCCACTCGGTCTGATACGACTCTTTGGTCATATGGTGCTTGGGATGCAGCTCCACGTTGGCTGTCAAAGTGGGACGTCGTCAAACCGCCTGCGATCCAGGGAACAGGTGTAAATCGCATGCTGAAGTCAGTAAGGAACCATCTTTTGGAGCTGCAGGACGCCGTTTTTTTAGGAAAGTTAGAAATGGATAAAAGTGGCGACAAGCGCTTCAAAGCTCCACTGGTGACGAAAACGAGCTGGAAGAAACCCAGCAACGTAAGTAGCTTCACTTTAGAAACGTGCAGGTGGGAAAAACCATTCCTAGAATGACAAACTTATAGAATACAATTTGCCGAAAATTTGAAAGCTTTGGCACCCGGCTCTCAAAAGAGCGATTATCTCAGTGTAAACACACAAGATGACAATTACATGAACATTCGATGGGGACTAGACCTGTTCTTTTCTGGGCCGGTATGTCGTGACATACGCTTTAATAGCCCACGCAGAGGTTGTTGTGCAGCTCGACAGCTCCTCCGGTTCTAATCTCTAGTTAATGTTGTTGAAGCTGCAGTTATTTACTTTCAGGGTTTCGTGGCAGCCTATTGTTTGCACATGGTGGAGGACTTTACTCATACTCACACCAAAGGCAAAGATGAGATGGTTCTGCACACAAACTGTTTCAGCCTTCACTTGAGAACCTCGGACCGGCGTTTAAATGGACAGTTGCAATTCACCTTTCTTTCTTTTTTTTGCAGTAGTTAAAGAGTCGCCCTTGTCTTTGCATTTATACAAAATAAATACTAGTTAATGCATAACCTTTTGTAGATTATTATACATTAAATATTTTCTTCATTTATTGCATTTGCTCATGTTTATGCAGCCCGGTTTGTTGCAATATGGTGGACACATTATCTGTTGGACCTCACGCAATAAGGAAGTACGCTCCACCAGTGGGGTTGTAATTATCTCAACTAGCGAACAGGACTGAGCTCAAAGCATCACACTCACTGCTGTAACATCAACTAACCTCCTCAGCTTCCAACGACCCGTCTCAAAAGAGTTTTATCTCACTCTCCTCTCTCCAGAACCCCGATTTATTTGAAATGATTGAAAAGATGCAGGTAAGACGACGCGTCTTCCCTTGTGTTCTGCTTCGGCTTTACGGGCTGCGCTCAGCGAGCGACTAACCGTGACTTCCTAATTCTGCAGCACCTTGTCCCCCCTTCCTCTGCTGCGACACATCTGTGCATTCTGTAAACAGGTCGTATTGAGTCTGGTGTGTTTTCAGAGATTCGTCAGAGCGTTACGTGTGTTTCTCGGCCTTTGACATTGTGATTGTAACTCCGGCTGACAACGTCGTACTCTTGTTATCACACCTCAAAAACAGTCTCCTGGTTTCTGTTGCTTATTCTAATCATGCGCTCCCACACCAGCAAGCTGGGGATTGTTTTGTTTTTTTAATTGTTGATCTAATTGCAGCCATAAGAACATCAGTGGGCGCCACCTCTCGTACGTCTGGCCGGCATTACTGAATATCTTAGAAATATCATAACTATTCCTCCTTAGCAGGCGGAGTGATGCAGGACTGTTTTCTTATAATAAAATAATAAGACACGATCGTCTCGTGAAGCCGGTTGCCCCCCCCCCCCCCCCGGCCCTGCTTAGGTATCTCGGCTTCTCCAGTTCTTCGTTGTCATGCTCTTTCACACAAACTCCCCGCAGGTCTAGTTTAAGCGCATCACTTATCTCAGTATCTCCTTAATGCCCTGAGTCTTATTACCCCGCCGCCCCTCGCCTGCTCTTTATCCCTACGCCGTGGTTTATCTCTCTCTGTATCTTTCCATCTGTCCCTCTCTGACTTTGCTCTGTTGCCTGCTGCTCTTTCTCTCTCGAATCTCGTGAGAAAACTCCGCCATTATGTAACGACGGCGGTGATTCTTGTTTCAGGACATGATTGTTATGTAAGGTGTTAATTCAAAAACATTCCGAATTTGGAATGAACATACTTGTGTTGGTGACTAAGCGTGACCCCCCCTTTTCTCCCCCTGGTGTTCCTCTTTCCTCCTTTCCTCTTTGTAGGGCGACAGAATGGATGAGCAGAGGTGCACCTTTCCTCCCCCGCTCAAGGTGGGACCCTCCATGCACAGACACGACGTCATTCACACGTGCACCTTGTCCCATGACTTGTGTCCATTGTCCCATGACTTGTGTCCATTGTCCCATGACTTGTGTCCACTGTCTCATGACTTGTGCCCATTGTCTCATGACTTGTGTCCATTGTCCCATGACTTGTGTCCATTGTCCCATGACTTGTGTCCATTCTCCCATGACTTGTGCCCATTGTCTCATGACTTGTGTCCATTGTCTCATGACTTGTGCCCATTGTCCCATAACTTGTGCCCATTGTCCCATTATTTGTGGGCATTGTCTCATGACTTGTGCCCATTGTCTCATGACTTGTGTCCACTGTATCATGACTTGTGCCCACTGTCTCATGACTTGTGCCCATTGTCCCATAACTTGTGCCCATTGTCCCATAACTTGTGCCCATTGTCCCATAACTTGTGCCCATTGTCCCATAACTTGTGCCCATTGTCCCATTACTTGTGGGCATTGTCTCATGACTTGTGTCCACTGTCTCATGACTTGTGCCCATTGTCCCATGACTTGTGCCCATTGTCCCATGACTTGTGGGCATTGTCTCATGACTTGTATCCATTGTCCCATGACTTGTGCCCATTGTCTCATGACTTGTGCCCATTGTCTCATGACTTGTGCCCATTGTCCCATGACTTGTGCCCATTGTCTCATGACTTGTGCCCACTGTCTCATGACTTGTGCCCATTGTCCCAGAGATGGTGAATTCACAGCGAGGAAATAATTCATTTAAACCGTCGATGTGCCAAATAATGGCATTACTCAAATCAAGCATTGATTCCAATGCAGTTTGCAGTATTGCATAACAGTTATGCAATGCTCTAAACCGGTTTCATTTGGGGTCATAGAGTTGGACAGTGTGATTATTATTCTTTTGACGAGGAAATAAAGCTTTGCTTCTCCGTTGTTGGTTTTCAGACTGAAGAGGATTACATTCCGTACCCAAGCGTCCACGAGGTAACATGATCATCATTTCATTTACTTTCACAACGTCATGCCTTGTGTTCCTCAACGCGTCTTGTCATTCTGCACTTTGGGACAGGTGTTGGGCAGAAAAAGTCCCTTTCCTCTCATCCTCCTGCCGCAGTTTGGGGGCTACTGGATCGAAGGGACGAACCATGACACTAGTTGCGCGGTGGAGACGGTACATCCGCAGCCGACGTCCCCGACCACCAGCGCCAAGCTGCAATGTAACACAACGGCGACGCTCTTCCGGAAACACTTCCTGGGAAAGGTTAGCGGCAGCAGAGAGGAAGATCACAGTGGTTTGCTCTGTTATTGTCACCTTATATAAAAGCTAACAATGATCTAAAAAACCCACAACATTTTACGATTGAAGCTTTATGAAAACACAGGGATCAAAAACACAGGCAAGACATAAAGACAATAGAACAGCAGTGAGGCCATTTCTAACTGCAAGTACATGTACATGTCTACAAATCTCATTTTCTTCATAATGTGAATTTTCCAAATTATTTCTTTCCAGTTGTGGAAGCAGAGGCATGATTCCTTAAACTATGATTCATATATAAGTTTCAAAATATGTTACACTAAATCGATCTTGGTACTCTAGTAATACTAATTCTACATCCAAAAAATATGCTGTCTAGTCCTGTCAAGTAAAGCAACTGTTTGCATTCATTCAATGAAACATAATGAGCATCAAACAATTAAGTTTATTGAGCAATAAAGTGCAATCCTCAGGTTTGTAAAAGGTGTGTTCTACAGGTGATATTGCTATAGTCAGACTCATGACACCCCTGATTATAACAGAATGAGCCTCTTTACTCTAATAGAACATTTCACAATCAATTTCAGTTCTTGCTCATTGTTGTATTGTAATAAGCAACAAGCGTATCACGATGGAATAACCCAGACTCACTGTTGTTAATGAAGATGCTGTGGGATCTGCCAGCTGTTCTTACACACACGTAATATGAACACATTTCACCTGCCTGCGGTACGAGAGGTACAAAAGTAGAAATGGGTACTGAGTACTTCAAGGTGTTGGATAATGAGTGGAGCGAGTGTGAGCATTAGTGTCGTGTGTGTGTGTTTCTGACAGGTACTAATGGGCCGTGTCCTTGTACTGTGCCCTCAGGAACACTTTAATTACTATTCAGTGGACAGCGCCCTCGGACATCTGGTGTTCTCTCTAAAGTACGATGTGATCGGTGACCAGGAACACCTCCGTCTAATGCTCAGGTAATGCTCAATAGGCATACACGGTGGGGTACGTCATGGCATTTTTTAAAATCATAATGTTGTTTTATTTGTTTTATATAAATAAAAACTTTGTTTTTTAAATGACACAAAGGAAATAGAAGGATGCTAAAATTTCGTAAGGAGACAATGACACGAAGGAATCATATAATTGCTGTTTTCAGTCTACGCAGTGATTCTGGATAGAAAACTGCCCACAAAACGTTTGACACAAAGGGAAGTGATGATTCCAGTTAAGCAATTGATTAAGAATTATCGACGAAAGTATGACTCAAAGGGATTCTGTGTTCCTTTACCTCACTTTAAAGACAAATGTACAGGTTTGAAGAACGTTGATGTCCAATTTAGTCAACAACTTCACGGCAAAAAAATTGCTTTAGAGACAGTATATGCTATTCTAATCTAATATAGACATGAAGATCTTTATATCAACCTCTGAAGTCACAAATATTGAAACTTTGACAAAATGTCTGGATTTTCAGCATCAACAGGAAATATATGGTCCACGTCGGATCGTCTCTCTCCCATGTGATGGCTTCTGAGAAATGTTGCATTGCGTTATGTGGCTTTAGACCCCACTGATTGTTTTATGGCTTCATCAGAAACAAGCTGAAAACCCACCATGATGTGATCCCCATTTCCTGTCTGACCGAGTTCCCCAACGTGGTCCAAATGGCCAAGGTGAAAAGAGATGTTTTCTCTTTTTATTACGCAGTGATCAGTCCATTGTGATCAAAACACAGTTTAACATTTCTTCCTCTGCTTTTTTTTTTTTTTTAATCCAAGCTCGTCTGTGAAGAGGTCAATGTGGACCGCTTTTCTCCGGTCCTTTATCCAAAAGTAAGATCTGGTTTGGTTTGTATAGTTGCAGCAGGTGGAAACGTCGGTTGCATTTCCACACATCTGATGACTCACAGGATAAGGATGCAATTCTAATAGTCTGCATTACTGCAAAACGAAATACTTTCATTTGGAGCATGCACACTTTTGATTTGTGATTTCAGACGCTTCAGATAAACTTTTACAAGATGAGCATTTACATTGTTAGCAGGAGATATCTCAGGATAAACGAGGCAGGATTACAATTTTTGTTTCATAAGAAATGTGAAACTAAACTTGAATATCCCTTATTTCTCTGTTTTTGTACAGGCTTCGAGACTTATTGCCGCCTTCGATGAGCATGTGATCAGCAACAATTTCAAGTTTGGGGTCATTTATCAAAAGTTTGGACAGGTGAGTTTTGACGTTTGGATGTCAACTAATTTTTGGTCAGTTATGGCTTGTTAGATGTGCATGTACCCAATAATTATCCTATTCAGTAAGTGAAGAAATGGGAATGTAGCATAAATTGAAATGTCAGATTTCTCCAAAGAATCACTGTCTTTCTGAGTCCGACACAGTAACTCACTCTTATTTCACGAGGCAATCACAGCTCTTTTGTTTACTGGGATGAGGGAGCGTGGGGGATGGGGAGGTGGGGGCACTTGCCGACGGCACTTGTACTTCTGAGAAGAGACCTCAGTGTGTCAACATCTGCCTGCAGTCGTTTATAAATACATTGTTAAATGACTTGTAAATGAGCCGAGGGCCGTCTCCCAGAGGCGTTGAGGGCCCTCTTCCCTCTTCTCCTCCCGCCGGACCTCGTTCCATCCGGAGGGGGTGCCGAGTGGAGGAAGGCCTGATGGTTGAAAGGGCACATTGCATGCGGTTAACACCACATAAATACTCACTGGGCAGCAGGATCTGCACGTCGGGCCGTCGTTTCCTTGTCTGCGTTGAAGCTGCATTACGCTGCCCACGCTTTCAGTAGACGATCTAATATCTATCATAGCCGGCCATTGTTGCACAAGCTTTCTTAAGCCCTCCCCCCGGTGCTACATCCACCTGTTCTGTGATGCAGATGATTCAACCGTATTGAACTGTTGCACATAAAAGGCGTGTTTTGTCACAACGCTCACCTCTTGAGATCTGTTGTCCCTAAACCTCCCAGATATTGTCCCTGCTGCTTGTTTATTTGTAATGCAGACATCAGAGATGGGGACTTGGACTTAGCCTCGAACACACTTGAGACTTGGACTTGCAAAGAAACAGGTGTGAGCACGTCTGTGTCTGAGGGGAAGAGGGAGCCTGAGAATAATTCTGCGACAGATTATTATTCTATGCCTGTAGTGTTGCAGGATTTTCCTGCTACTCTGACTGGAAAAAACAACGCAAAATGTATTTATTTACTTTGAAAGTAAAGCATTACAATAGTGTGTTTTGAAGTTTTATTGCACAGTACTAACATGTGCTGATATGGTAAAAGATAAAGGAGTGATGACACAGCAAATGCTTTGAATACCTCAGATATCAGAAGTGACGGCATGCTGCAGATGACAGAAGGTCCATTACAACCACAAGACACTTGATTTGAGACCTGATTTGCATTCTATGGCTCAAAGATTTGACAATTGACTTGCTCAACTACACAACTTGGATTCTTTGGCTCAACATCTTGAATATTGACCTGGACTCCTGCTCAAAGACTTGAGAATTGTTTTGGAAACTTGAGTATTCGCTAAGACTCTTTTGCTCCAATGTTTTGAGACTTGAAACATCTCTGGAACACACACAGCAACTCACAGAAATCAGCCCCGGTGCTGCTGCTGAAACCCTTTTGTCGTCCCAGCCTTGATGTTGATGAGATTTGTTCTGCTGCTTTCAGACTTCAGAGGAAGAGCTGTTTGGCAACAGCCACGAGAGTCCTGCCTTTGTAGAATTCCTGGAGTTTCTGGGAGATAAAATCGAGCTGCACAACTTTAAAGGGTAAGGATCAAACCCGGGTGTGTAAAGGCTCTACGTACTCAATCACGCATTTAACAGAATGCCGACAACCGCCACTTACTCCACATGCGGCCCCGGAAATAGAGGCGGTCACGGTGCAGCAGTGATGGCGGAGGACACCTTGTGAGACATGGTTGTGTTTGCTTGCAGTTTCCGCGGAGGGTTAGACGTCACTCACGGGCAGACCGGCACTGAATCCGTCTACTGCAACTACCGTAACAAAGAGGTCATGTTCCATGTGTCCACCAAGCTGCCTTACACGGACGGGGACACCCAGCAGGTAGCGTAACGCGATGCCAGACCAACACAGCTCCCATTGGGGTCACGAGTAGCTGTTGCACGTACCTTCGTGTGGTGCCAAACACTTAACTTACAAGAGGGAGAAAACACCCCACTGGTAGTAAACATGCATCACTTTGAATGTAACGTCTGTAATCGTGAGCATCACGCCCCCCCGCGGGGATTTAAAGCACTGCCGAACCCTCCTCATGTGATTTAGGGTGATTTAACTCTCCCCTGAAGCCATTATCTGGAGACACAGCGCTCCCTGGTGGTGGTTGATACATTCACATGTGTCTAGTTGGAGGACACGGAGGAGGAAGAATGGAGAGCAGTTATTTTTTTAGTCATTATTTATGATGCCTGTATATTTCACAAAGCACGGCTTTGTCGTACAACGAGTACAAAAATGTGTCATAAAACACCGATATCGCAGGCTTACTGTATTTTCTTATCCTAGCTGGGATCAGTCGGCAATGCGCCAACTGGCTTTGTGACGGATGAGTGGGCTTAATTGACAATTAGTCCCACTCAACCTCTCACTCACCTGTGAGTAAGTCATCTGTGGCTGCTGTGTTGCAGTTGCAGAGAAAGAGGCACATAGGAAACGACATTGTGGCCATCTTATTCCAAGAGGAAAACACTCCCTTTGTACCGGACATGATCGCCTCCAACTTCCTCCACGCATACATCGTGGTCCAAGTGGTGAAGCCCTGCTCTGACGACGTTCTCTACAAGGTGAACGGTCTATCTCTACCTGTGCGCTGACTTTGGATCCTGTGATGAAACCTAAACTTCCTCTTAATTGTCAGGTGTCCGTGACCGCTCGGGATGATGTGCCTTTCTTTGGCCCCGCCCTCCCCAACCCTGCTGTCTTTAAAAAGGTGAGAGGAAGAACAACCCGAGGCCTCGACTACCGGACCCACCCCCCCCTCCCCGCCACTGAGGCAACGCGCTTTCCTCCTCTCGGCCGTTTAGCCGCTGTAGCTCACGACGTGACGTCTCTTTGCTCTCCATCCGCAGAGCCCTGAATTCCATGAATTCCTTTTCACGAAGCTCATCAATGCAGAGTACGCCTGCTACAAAGCTGAGAAATTTGCCAAATTAGAGGTGAGCAGTTGCAAGGATCTTGAACATTTCTGACATTCAGTAGAAATTAACCTTTTTTCATCCCCTCGTTGTGTGTGTGTGTGTGTGTGTGTGTGTAAGGAGCGGACGAGGTCAGCTTTGTTAGAGACCCTTTATGAGGAGCTGCACGTCAACAGCCAGGCCATGATGGGTGTTGGAGGAGACGACGACAAACTGGAAAACGGGAGCGCGGGAGGAGGGGGCTTCTTTGAGTCCTTCAAGGTAACTGCAGAGGAGGTCCGGCCTGGTGACAGCTTCACTTTATACAAAAGTCTGCTTCTAACGAATAAGCCGAAAAGTTCAATTCTGCATTTTTGTTTGCTAACACCGAGATAGGAACGCTGTTATTGTGTTGACAGATATTTTAAATCAATATTACATTTTTATCTCTGTTAAGGAAGTATTTTCACAAATTTGGGAATTACTTTCCTATAGCTCAGGTATTCAAACTGAAGGATGCATTGCATGGATTTAATCAAGTCATGTATTCTGTGCCACACATGTATTTGGTTATTTGCACACAGCTAGGCTTAATGCTAAGCTAAGAGAACCTGCTGCTACAGACACATTGAACAGTGATTTTTGATCTTCTCATCTAACCTTTTGCAAACACATTCCCGGTAGTTATTTGTTTCAATGTCATTATAAGGTCATTTCTACTGCACAGGAAAAGCATAGTACTTACTTTACGTTTCCAATGTTCCTTCTGATGATGTGAAAAGGGGTGTCTTCTCTCTTATCTATGCACAATGGGCTGTAAGGGTTTACCAACCTCCCTCGATCTCTGTTGATCTACATGAAGAGGAGCTCTGCTCTGTCCTGCTGGGACGCACGGCTCTCTGCTTGGACGCTCTTCTTCCTCGCGCCTGCTGTGCTCTCCCCGCATGCTGCAGTGTTCAGTCCCTAATCCCTCATTTGTGTGATTCTGTCATCTGTGTTTCTCATTAACATAAAGCAAATGGAAAGAGTTCCTCCACCCTCAGATGCCTCTGCCTTCTCTCTCTCTGCTCCGTGCCTGCAAAGGGGGGGTGGGGGGGGGGGGGGGCGCGCTGGGCTTCGACCTCTCCTGGCTGGGTTCTAAAAGCACATGGGTCATGTGTTTCACCCCTTCTTGCCACCGAAACGAATGGAAAAATTCGCCGGGGCCTCCCTGTCACCATTAAACCCTCAAATGTAGATCTCATACACTCTACTGTCGATACCCTCTTTTTCATGCAAATACACCCCCCCCCCCCCCGCCCGCCCCGCCTCACCCAAGGCTCCTCTGGGCCGGTAAGGCCGCACAGCGGCGCTGAGGGGGTCGCGCGGGGGTCCGCACCATCTGAATGTATCCTCGTCTGTCTCTGTAGCGGGCGATGCGCAGCAGGAGCCAGTCTGTGGACGCCACGGGTCTCACGTTCAAGAAGCCGCACACTTTCTCCACTAGCTTCAGCAGCAGCTTTAACCACGACCCCGCAGAGAGCCCCAAATTCCCAGGGATAGTAAGTACAGCCCCCCCACTCCTCCAGGTCCTGAGCGAGGCTCAGCCCCCCCCCCACCACCAGCAGTTCTGCTAGGGCTCGTGGCCCCTCCTCCCTCACTTGCCTGCTGCACTAACTTCTCACAGAGAACCGTGAACTGTAAACTCGCCTCTCGCGTTGCAGCGGTCGCACATGCCATGTCTGCCTGCACGAGACGGAGTGTCCGGACATGCGTAGCCTTTGAATGCTTCTAGGACACAGGGTGGATTCCCCCCCACCCCGGCCCCCCCCAGGGTTAAAGCTGCTTCTAGTTCCTAAAGATTTCACCCCATGCATCGGCATTGTTCATAACGTCTCACGGGAATTTCAATGAATGTGCATTGGTTCCTGTTTGTATGCATAAGTGTTTGTGCATGCCAGCCAATATGTGTGGATTTTTATTCAGTCCTCAGGTAAAAATCTTGTTCCTCCAAATTGCAACTTTTGTGCATTTCTTTATATATGGTTTCTGCAACGCTGCAAAACATTGAGGGTGTTACACAAAAGCTTTGCCCTTTTATAGAGAAGCTTTAAAACACTCATTCCATTCCGGTCACGAGGCGTTGACTTAACAATGACCACGTGTGCGGTTGCTGGTCTGATACTGCAGGGAGGTATTTTTTATTTTGTGGGAACTTTGATTTTATCAACGTAAGACATTTAAAATGGTCTTCTAGAATAAGTAACCAACAGCTTAATCTCGCTCTTCTTCTCTGTACTGTGTTGATGTGAAATGTTTAATATGCTGTACGTCTTTGTTTTGTCCTATTTGCCCTCTTCCTTGCAGGCGTAACCATGACTCATCACTTCTCTCTCCCATTCAGCTGCCCGTGTTGCACCCACGGGGCCGAATGTCCCTCTTTGTACCCTCCAGTAAACAAATGCTTTGTATTGTGTTCATGACTGACTGCTTGTAATCTCATATATATGTGCATATGTCTCATGTTTACCCTCCTCTCTTCCTTTTTGTCACCTGTCTTCATCTCATCTCTCTCTCTCTCTCTGTGTGTGTGTGTGGCTCAGTCATTGCTTGTCCCAGGCAAAAGTCCCAGTAAATATGGACGTCGAGGCAGTGCCATAGGGATAGGAACAGTAGAAGAGGTTGATGTCTAATTCTAACTACTTGTTTCTCCTATTTTCTCTGTTTCTTCTCTGCATGGCTTCACTGCATCGGCCCCTTTGCTCTATTTTAGTATTCGACACAGTGTGCGTTCGTGTGTTACATTGAATCAACTGCATTATCTCAATCTGGGATTAAAAAAATAAAGCAGAAATGGATATTTTTCTCACATGGATTAATTGCTTCGCCCTGTTATGTTGTTACATAAACTGCGATCTGGCAATCAAATTGGTAAGAGATAAGCAGCTCATTGTAGCACACACGCAAAGTCGCATTTTAAGGGTCCACATATGACTCCCTGCTGACTAATTTTCTTCTGTTCTCTGAATCCAATCTTCACGCTCACATTTTTTTATGACTACCACATATTACAATTCCAATATGCTTAATTCTCTAAAAGTATTAGTTTAAAAGTTATGGATCTGCCTTACTGTTCCTTTATAGTGACAACTCAAAGTGAACAATGCTAGTGTCCATATTTCCCCAAATATTTGAAATTCGAATAGTTAAAATTAAATATAATCATCACCCCGCCCCTTGGTAATGATGAAATAAATTGATAAACTTGATGTTAATTACTTGCCTCTGACTATCGTTCCTCTCTCCCTGGCAGTCATTGATAATCCCGGGAAAAAGCCCAACCAGGAAGAAGTCTGGTCCTTTCAGCTCCAGGAGAAGTAGCGCCATTGGCATAGAAAACATCCAAGAAGTCCACGAGAGGAGGTGAGAGAGAGAGAGAGAGAGATATCTTCTCCCTCTTTAAGCCACGTCGTCTTTGCTGCGCCTGACCGCTTGTTCCACGTGTCTTACGCCGCAGCCGAGAGAGCTCCCCAAATACCCAGAAGACCCCCGACAGCGGCCACGTCTCTCAAGACCCCAAATCCGACAACTCGTCCAATCAGAGCTCTCCGGAGGTGCTTCCGTCGCCCAAGAACAGGTGTGTTCACGTAACAGCCGCACCTCATGGCTCTATTGATCAATGGAATAACACATTTCATGTCATTTGGGGGCAATCTTCTGCCGTGGCATCGTGTTGAGTGACTGTATCCTGTACGTAAGATGAAATCAGGGTTGGCTGTGCTGGAGGGTGATAACCCCAGGTGTAGTTCTTGTCTCGGTGGCAGGGCCCCGTCCATCCCCGAGGGTCACGACCTCTCCCGCTCCTCCTCCAACGCTAGCAGCTTCGCCAGTGTTGTGGAGGAGAACGAGACGGAGGCCGCGGAGGAGTACGACACGGCCATGGTGAGTGCTGCGTGTTAACGGAACGAGACCAGTGGGAATCCGCTGTCGGTTTGTCCTCAGGTTGCATACGCACGTTGGCATGTTTTGCTGCATCTGTCCTTTGCGCGCTCTGCAGGAGAGTCTGTCGTCCGCCGGGACGCCGCTCAAGCGAGACTCCCTCACCTACAGCACCTGGCTGGAGGACAGCAGCAGCATCAGCAGCGGCAGCACCACCGGTCGTGGCGGCTCCTCAGGTGAGAGAGGTGGGATGCTGAAAATTCCCCTCAAACAGAATTTTCAAATATGCAAAACAATTTAGTCCATTAGTCCTCAGAGCAGTCATTGTGCCAGATACAATGGTCCAGATATACCAAAGCAACGACAAATATTAATGACCGTAAATACCAAATATGTAATATTACAATTATCTACACAGAATATTATTTTGCAAATACAAACTTTCATCCTAACACATCAGGGATCACCTAGTGTCTTTTTCAAACGTAGTGTCTTCAAAGCTCCCCCGTCCCTTAATGTTCACGGATGACTGTTTTCCACGTGGATCTGCGATGGACATGAGACTGTTTCACTCACTGCTGGTCCATCACTCAGGGCCTGCCAAGCCTGACCGAGGGAAGGGGACAGATGTGCGAATCAAACTGGAACGCCCACCCGATCATCGGTCCTCATCGGTGAGTCGGCCCGGAGTAAACAGATATCTGACTTTACGTTTCTACCTCCGAATTACCTGTTTTCGTTGTTTTTTGTGTGAACTTCTTTGTTTTTTGTTCCTTTGTGCGCAGAACTGTTAGCACCACCCACACGGCCGTGTCCCAGATCTCCATCCTCAGGTTAGACTCAATCCACGGATTTTAACTAGACATAAATGGACCAGATACACTGTATGGACATTGATAGCAAACGTGTCTACACTGTCTATATACGTACAAATGTCAGCATGCATGCAGATTACGGAGGAATGAATGAAATCAATACACAGTTGTTTGGACCCATTTTATAATCAAGTTTTCTTTTATTCCCAAAGCATTCTCATAGGTCACAATCCCTCTGGGAGGTGAGACAAGTGCAGGCGTTTGCCACGAACGATCATGAGAAAGACAACGATGAGGAAGATGAGAGAGAAGAGGGAAAGCAGGTGGGGCTCGGCCGGGCTGCTGCTCGGTGGGGGGCAATAGAGGAACGGGGGGGCACGAAGAGCGGCCAGCTTTTGCACAGTGTTGTTTCCTTCCACTCTTTTATTTGCCTCTTCGAACTGTTTCCTAGCTGTTTATTACTGTTGTTGTTGTTGTTAATGTTTTTTTTACCACATCTTTGGTTTCAAAGGCGCACATTTTTTATGAATTACCAATGAAATAGTTTTATTTGAAAAATATATAACTTTGGTTGAGTTGGTCTTGTTGAAGCCCAGGTGTGCTGGCTATACAGGGTAAAGACAGTGCCATCGAGCTCTTTGCAGAGCAACATAGAAGATAATATACATATGTATGATATAATTCAGCATCAAAGATGGATATTTTCCAACAAAACCTCTAATGTGATATTGAACTGCTCTGTTGGATGCTGTTAAATGTGATTATTTTGATTTATGGGTAAAGTCCAAATAGAAGGAATACACGGCTGCAGAAAAACCAACATGTCCCCAAGCTGACATTTCAAACTTCCATTGAAGGTATCGTAGGAAATGGCCTTAAAACATAAACATGCAATTTCTTTGTCCCTGGGATTTAGTTTGGCTAATTGCTTGACTCACTTGTACTGCATATAATAATGGAATAGCATTATTATATTATTTGTCAAACTAATAAATTCATATTCATTTTTCAAGCACAGAATTTTCTCATAAAAGGGTGTTACATTTGAGTTATGCATCAGCCATGTCTGCATGGAGTGTTGTATGGAGTGTTGCATGGAGTGTGTGGATGATTCATCGATGACATTGATATTAATTGATGACACGTTCTATTCTGATTTTTTTCCTACTGATATAATTTATTTATTGTTTTGTTTACTGCTGAAGAGGCATTTTTCTAGTGTATATCTATCAAACTGTACCTCTCTGGTGACATGCATCATCGTGCCATTTGCTTATTCTGTGTGGTGCATTGGAGTAAATAATAATGTTGTCATCTTTAGAGATCTGTCTCCAAAGGGTCAGATCTCTTTCAGTGCAGTGCATTTGCAATGTACTTATAATAAACCGTCAATATGTATTTGTCTTTAAAGAAAGAAAATAACAACACAACTACTGATTTTGTAAATAGATATTTAGCTGGATAAAACAGTGTGTAATATACAGACTATTCATTTTAAATGGGGTTGACCAATATCTCGTCGTTACTGCCAAGTTATTAGTACATTGTTATATTTCTTCCCTATTTTGCATATTATTTTGAGAAAAGTTTTGTAGAAGAGAACTATTTTAAAAGCTATTCAGACTGTTCTGTTAAAGGGAAATCTCGCAGTACGTCCTGCTGATCATTTCAGTTGCCTTATCATCATAAACTGATGGTGTAAGTATGAATAGTGAAGCAAATAGCAAATAATAACAGGATTTTCAATGAAATTAATGTTTTGTTGTTGTTGTTTTTATTGTAAATAAACATCCTGAGAACTTTACAGTCTATTTCCCACATGTTCTTTTGACCTGCATCATGTCGCTCAATACAAACTGTACTGTGTGTTCTTTGCACACCACTACGTTATTCTGAATGCCACATTGAGAAGATTTCTGCTGCGACATGCCTACAAACTGTAGATGTTCCACTTCTCACCATCCTAATGAAAGCTAAGAGAGAAATCCCCCCTGAATAAAAGATTTGAAGTGGCTGCCCAAAAATACTTCAAACTAGAGCAATTTAAAAGTGTAAATAAACCTTGCTACATACTTCAGTTTTAATGATTCAGAAGGTTATAGTCATAGTTATGACTGAGATTGGCTTTCCAAAGGTATCGATTCATGAAACAATGAGGGAATAGGTCAAATATTTTAAGTATTTTGTAAATACATTTAGAAATGTGCAATTCTATAATGTGAAAACAACATAAATGGCAAAAAAGAGCTTTTCACTCTGTCCTGAATATGTTATGCAAATATGAGTTTAAATATATCCTCATTCCGAGGAATAAAGATCAATCTATAAAGTGAAGGTCAAGGTGTGTTTGGGTGTACGTGTGTTGTAAGAGCCTTGGGGCATTCTGGGTTGATGTTATCCAGGCAGATGTTTTAAATACTGTAAAAAACACCACATGCATGTTAATATACAGCCTACTGATAGTACTAGAAACAGATTCAATTAAAATGTGAAGCTATAGTATAAAAAAAATATAATAAAATGTCTACTTTTAAAATGTTTGTTTGGACAAATACAAAGGATTTTTTTCTTCAGATGTTTATGCGAGATTTATGTGATCTTTGTGATTTAGAAATAAAAACAGCTCTTTCCACCTCAGGATATACAGTATTTATAGTTGCTCAGTTGACCTCAATCAGCTTGGAAGATGAATAAACCAAAAAAATGAAGAAGGTACCAAATTGTATGCTTGTTACAAATCAAAAAAGGAAAAAAATTATCCAAGGGTTATTTTTTCTGGATGTGCATTTGTGGTTCATTTGTGTTCACTGATCTCTCCTCACGTGGACTCGTCCATTTGCACCATTTTGCAGTATAGAAAAGTAGAAAGTAAAAGTTACATTCCATCAATCAAAAACACACAACTTATTTACTTATTTGTGTTCTTATTATATTCTTATTATAGAATTACTGTTGCTGTCATAATTAACTTGATTATTATAATAATATAAAGCCAAGTTCTCCCTGAGGAGAACCACTTAACTGCTCAGGCGGAACCGTTGTTCGCTCCGAGAAACAGGAAATGCATTAATTCTGTGGGGCTCAATCCGGAAGTGGACTTCTCGAGTCACATTGAAGACAGATATCCCGGTCAAACGAATAACAGGTAAAGTAAAGCTGTTCATAAAATAAGTCCAATTATTCTTTTCATATTGTCAGGTAGTTGATGCCCGAAATATTCTCAGCTTCAGTCTTTTTAATATTCGCTCCCAAAGCGGATCCACATTGCTAGCTAGCATTAGCAACCAACCGAAGGTGTCCTCCGTGGTCTAACGTTATGTTCATAGTAATTATTTGACATTCTCTGTTTCCCTCCTTTTGATAACGTTTGTTAAAGACATCCGCTATATCGTCGGTCGCCTACCCATATATACTGCATTTGTAGCCCAATAATAAATGAAATGTTTGACTAGCTGGATGGAAGAGTTTTGACCAACACGATGCTTTTGCCCACAGGACCAGTGACCAGTCAACTCATCCCTGATGACTTCACTCTAACCATGTTTAGTTCAAGGGTTGTCCCCCGCTTATTACGTAGAGCAACATGTAAGTACAACTATAATAAAATACTAATAGCAAGTGTATGTCTTTAATACATATTAAACCCTATTCCAGTTGAAGTATTTAATTGAAGATCTAACTCTGAATATCTTCCATTATTTCTCCATCAGGTGCACTTACAGGCCACGGAGAAGTTCTGAATGGATGTGTGCGACCGGTTCTTCCCGCTTGTTGTTCCTCGCTACAACGAAAGCCGCGAAACTACTCCACAGCCGCAGACAACAGGCCTCCCCCCCGATGGGTACAGCTTGAGCCGGAGCTGGACGAGGCGCTCGTGCCACGTAAATTGTCAGTGAGTCCTCTGGAGAGCTGGCTGTCGCTGCGCTACTTTCTTCCTCCCCTGCTGGAGTCGGCTCCGCCGCAGGAGGACGCCGGGCTGCTGGAAGAGAAGGTTCTGCCCCCCATCTCCGTCCCCGTGATGGAGGATGGAGAGGGTTCACCTACACCCCTTAGTTGTAAAAATGTGCTGGAGATCCGACGGCGGAAGATGAACCGACATAATTACAAGAAACTGCTTAAGCGGACTAAGTTCTTGAGGAGGAGGGTGCTAGAGGGGAGGGGGAAGAAGAAACAGGTGAGCTTTTGCTTTCTTTTGGATTTAAAAAAAAGGGTCTTGTGATCTTGACTGGCGAGATTTATACAACTTTTCCTATAATATTTACCCTATTAATATGATGTAGGGTCATTTGATAACATAACAATAATGGTTAACTGAATTAGACTTGTTTGTTTCTTGATTGTTGTAATGTGTGTGTCTTGTGCAGAAACGATTTGAAGAGGACCTGAAGAGGATTTGGACACGAGCTGGACTGAAGAAAGCTCCAGAAGGCTGGCATGCACCAAAGATCTTCATCAAGCAGCACGGAAACAAAAGAGACTGAGAATCACCGACTCACAGGAGTTTGTGTCACATCGCTAAACACTGGACGGCTCGACACGCTGCAGTCGAAACACTCGGCCGACTCTGTGTTCTTTACATCTCAATTTGAAAAATGTTTCAGTGATACAAGTAGAGACCTGTGTACAATTATTTTTAACAAAGTGTACATAATCCAATAAAGACCACTCTGTTAACCCCAAGACGTGGTGTTTTTCATTTTCAGAGATTTGAATTAAACGATTTCTTACATTTTTCTTTTCTTGCCATGGATGGCAGCATTGTGCAAAATCTGAGGAAATGCTTTAACCCTGTAATTCTCTTGTCAGGGCACTGGCTATTTGTTTTAACCATAGCTATTTGGTTTAACTACAAAATCCAAGCACAGAAAAAATAACAAATCTGACTTGTTGACAATTTCAAAATTTAATAAAACAGGGAATTAAGTAAAATTACTTTGAGAAACCAGCAAATCAAGACCTGTGAAATGAGCAAGGATCCTTTCAGAATCACTTTATTGTGTGGAAGTTCTCCCAAACAGCCTGTTTTCTATTCTTGGTTCTGCAACCATATACTAATTATAATTATATATATATATATATATATATACAAAACAAGGATTGCTTTTACTGAAGGAATAACGGGCCTATATTTTTATTCCTTAAAAAAAACAAAAACGTATGAATATAAGATTATATATATATATATATATATATAATCTTATATATATAATATATATATATATATATATATATATATATATATATATATATATATATTATATATAATATTGTTGTTTTGTAGTATAAGATATTGTAATTTCGGACACACAACATTACAAACCCTATTGAACATCGATCCTTTGATTCTTCTGCTGCACCTTCAAAGTGTTTCACATTTCGTGCAGCAAATGTCGTCCCGCTGTAGTCGCCGTTGCAAACACCCGCTTTTCTGGTGTTTGCGTGGGATCCTTCGGCCTGCGGAGGCGGAGCGTGAGATCCGAGACTGCAGGAAGAAAACAAAGTGGAAACTCCTCACAAGCGGAGCCGCTCCCGTCTCCGCATCCACGCGCACAGCAGCTCCACGGCCACGATGCACCCCCACCTGACTCTCCTCCCCAGTAAGTGCTTCACTCCTCCGGCTTTTAGCAAATGGGGACAACGATCACTTGAGGATACTTTTTTTGTTGTATTGTTGGATCCGGGTTTAAAAACGTCCGCTCGGAACAAAAGCAGAAAGCTCTTCAGTTCAGATGCTCTGCTCAGTAAATATCTTTAAAAAATCTTGAAATCTTTAAAAAGATATTTTTTTCCTGTCAACGTGCCTGCATTGTTTATTAATATCTAAAGTGTGATCTTGTTAATGACCCCGCTTTCTTCTGTTGTCCTATTTGTATTGTTTATTGTTAACTCGGTAACATCTCCATGTTGATCCAGTGTTAGTCTACAGATGTTACGGCCCACATCATTTATTTCCTTTTATGGGCTTTATAATACTTTATCTGTGCACATCCGTCATAAAAACCAGGTTAGAACTGTATTACCTGTGTGAGTGACGTCATGCATTTTCTTTGAGCGCCTCTGTTATGAAATATAAAAGTTCTTGAAACAACACGCGTGGAGCTTCGCGGGCGTGAAACGGGGGCTCGCGCGGTTTTGACCGTGTTGTCGACTAAGGGGGATTTTTTTTTATTTTTCTTTCTTTTTTTTGTGGGTGGCGCACAATGTGTTTCCAGTTAACCGCGGTCTGAGTCGAGGAGTCAGCGCAATCCCACAACCCGTTATTATGAGTGTGGGTAATGAGTGTTTCACCGCGGGGGGGGGGAGGCTCCTACCGTGTTTATGGTGGACTGCGTCTCACCTACCCTTTTACTTTATTCAATATCACTTATATGTATAAAATGGGTATTATTCTGGAATAAAGTTTTAGGTACTGTGAAAATCACTATGACTTAAACGTGCTGGATACTTGGCCTCATGTCATTATGAGTCCACATGGCTGCAGGCGTGTGAATGTGTCTTTGCATGTTTAACCAAAAGCTGCAGCTGGACTCATTCGTTTGATTTATTCCCGTGTTGTGACTGCGCTGTGGCTAAACATCTTCCTCCCAAAACCCCCATCAATCGCACGGATTATGCTGAGTAAGCACATGCTTTACGTCCCAGTTGAAACCGTTCTCTTGTCGGACCTTAGCGGGGACATTCCGTTTGTGGTTTTCTCCATTTTGGTTCCTGGGCTGCAAATGAATACAGTGATCTGGAAGATCGTTTGGTAAATGCCGGGTTATTATAGCTGACTACTCGATGGCACATTGTTAAGTCTTTAGCTTTAAAAACAGCCCCGCGAGTCATGAGCCTGAGTAAGTGTGTGTGTGTGTGTGTCTGGGGGAGAGAAAATTACAGGGGTGGGGTCATTGTTACCTTCTGCAAGAAAGTTTATAGCCTCCATCAGAAAAAAAACAAAGTTTTCCAGCATGATGTCTTCTCTCTGATGTCAGCGTGTGCTAAAATCACTCTGCTCAGCTTGGGAGAATTATTCTATAAACGTGCAAATCACTGCATTAAAGGCATTTAGCAGCACTCCTGCGAGGCATTTGCTGTATCTTCACATGTGGTTCTCCTCTGATCACATGTGGAGTGATTCAACCGTATGTGCTCCCACGACGAGCAAAACCCTTTGATGGAGAAGGATCTTTTAGGTCCTGCACTCTGTCTCAAAATGATCATGTGCGGCTGGCTTTATGGTGTCAGACCGCGAGTGTCACGCATAGACCAAAAATACGCCAGACGCTTTTGAACTGTTGCAAACATTAGAAATAATGCACCTTTAAACTAAAGAAAGACGCATTCAGCAAAGCAGCATCATACTTCAATGTACAGTAGAACATATTGGCCATTAAGAATACATACTGTACGCTTCTTTTACTAAACCGGATGTATCCTCACTCAACACCTGGATGCTCTGCACCTCCAGCCTCCGTATTTCATGGTACAAATGACCAGGACAGTAAAAATCTAGTGTTTTTGAGTGACTTCATAGCAGCCCGGTAGTTCATCCCCTCAGCGGGCCGGCAGCAGCGGGATGAATAGAGGCTCTGTGTGCGTCTCCCCCGGACCTTCAGTAAACACACCAGGAAATAACACTGTGGGAAAATGCATAGAAATAGCAAATAGGCTGTAAGCAAAGATGTTCCGTCTCTCGCGTGAAAAAGCACAAGCCGCAACATACAGTATATTCCAGAGAATATTGTTGCAGTCTGTTTTTTTTCTTCTTTGTTTTTTCTTTTGTGGTCCCGTGTGGAACTTTTGTGCTTTTTAAACCCTTCGCTTCTCACTTGGTCTGACTCTTCAGCTTTCCTCTGTTATTGTAAACCGTCCTCTCACTGAACCCGCAGCAGAATTCTTTCACTCTCGGGTCTTTGCAGGTCAAACCGAAACTTTCAAACTAGTCTCATGAATATTCCTCAAGACATGAACTAGTGCCACTGCTGAAATCTGTGATACCTCAGCACGAAAATCTGGATGCTTCGGTGGAATAAAACTCCAATCGCTGGTGTTTATTTTCTCTTTCAGTTGTGGCCTTCGTCTTCTCGCCCGGAGGTAAGGCCTTTTGGTTTTCTCTGCCTAAACCTTTGATGCGTCTCTCTCTGTCATCGCTGTATTGGGCTCCTGAACCAACGTATTTCCCGTGTTGTATTTGTCCGTCAGCATGGGGCCTGAGCGGCGGCAGCGCGCCCGGCGTGGTGGCGGAGCCCATGGACATCACCCTCCCCGCGGGCTCTAAGGCCCTTCTGCCCTGCCAGAGCCCGCGCATGGTGTGGCCCAGGGACCGGCTGAAGGACCGTCAGAGGGTGGTGCACTGGGACTTGGTCGCAGCAGCCCGGAGTACTCTGTGGAGCGGGTCCTCGACATGTCCCCTGGGGCCCACCAGAGGGTCTACAATGGCTTCAACAAGGGACGCGTCTCCATCCCGGACTCTGCCTTCGACGACGGCAACTTCTCCCTCGTCATCGACGGTGAGACCGGCCGAGCTGTCCCACCGGCACCACGAGCGCCGCACTCCAACGTCCTCAATTTAACGCCGCGCTTGCTTGTCGCCCTTTTGTCTTTCAGCCGTTGTCGCGGCCGACAAAGGGATGTATACTTGTAATCTGCACCACCACTACTGCCAGATTCACCAGTCCATCCAGATCCAACTCAACGTGACTAAATCAGGTGAGGCGTCCTAAGCGTTCCCCCCCTCCTCGCGCTCTCCCATGATGTCACGGCGCATCCAACAGTATCTCTCGCTCATGTCTTTCCAGCTCGAAAAGAGAAGCGCTACTGGGATGGAGAGAAGTCCGTGTTCGTGGTGCTGCTGGGGAAGTCGGTGGTGTTGCCCTGTGTGAACCGGCGCCCCCTGTGGAGGGAGGGCCTCCAGGAGGAACAGCAACAAGTGGCCCACTGGGACTTCCAGCCCCCCGGCGTGCGCCCTGACAGTGCCGACCGCCTGGTGGACCTCTACGCCTCCGGGGAGCGCCGGGATTACGGGCCGCTCTTCGGGCAGAGCCGGATGAGCGTGGAGGAGGACGCGTTCACCTTGGGAGACTTCTCGCTCTCCATTTCTAGCTTGAAGCCCGCCGACAAAGGCCTGTACTACTGCCACCTGCATCACCATTACTGTGGTCTGCACGAGAGACGCATCTTCAGGCTCACTGTGGGACCTCCGCTTCCATCCGGCCCCACCACGGCACCCAGGATTTCCCAGAACGATGTGCCGGAGCTAAGTAAGTTGCCGAGAATTTCGAAACCGCAATCAGAAGAACTTTGTTTTCCCAGATGATGGTAATGGTAAATGTTTTCCCCATATGGCGTCTTGGCTACATTGTGCATAGGGTGACAGCACAGATACTCGGCTTTCTGTGCTTATTATGGGCATAGTTGGTCAGTTAAGTCAGTTCCTCTTCTCCTCTGCCAATTCTCTTCTCAGACCTCTGCTGTTTTTGTGTTTGAGCCGAAGAGGGAGGCAGTAGAAGGAATGTAGACGCTGGTTGAGTGAGAAAGATCAAAATCGTTCTGTTAGTTTGTTGACTATGAATTCAAGGGGAGCTTTCTCGAACTAAACTGTACTCCACGAAGCTCTGGCTTGTGAAGCTGTCGGCAGTAAACCGCTTTAAATTGCCTGAGATGGAAGCGGTCTGATTCTCCTCGCTGACCTTTTTTTTTCTCTCTCCATTTTTTCATGTACAGCTGGAGACATTTTAACAGTGCTGAGCGGAGGAGTAGGCTCCAAAAGCCAGTCATTTTGGGAGTGGACGGTCATATGTTGACTGTTTTTTTTCCTCCGCTTGACCCCGTTTTCCAAAAGTCCCGACCAGATGTCCCGACTGCTCGCGCTCTATCTGGAGTTTTGTTTATTCGTCCTCCCACTCCGTTCTGTCTTTCTGCTGTCGTGTATCTCCCTCTGATTCAGGATTTACCAGCAGTTCAAGGAAGTCTTGAACATCTGTTCAACATATGGGCCAGCTGTGACATGAAAGAGCAAAGCAAAGGGAGGGGACGGAGGTGTTATAGTGTAGGTCCTCCCACAACGGCGTGAGCTCCAGGAGTACGTTGGAAGAAATGCACACGTGGATAGATGCCATCCTGCCTGCGCCTTTTCACTGAACCTCATCTGCAATTCACTCCTTCTTCACGCACTGCTGATCTTGTGTGTTAGATGTAAAATTACATTGTTCATTTCCACACTGGCAGCATTTGTCTGAGATTACAGCTTTCACGAGAGCTTTCCCCTTTAATGCTGTGACTCTTTCTGGCGTATCGGACGTCGTTTCTATTGAATCATGAAGCTTGCGATCTGTAAGCTGTTCGCGTCTCTATTTGAAAATGAAGACGCTTTCCTTCAGACCACTGAGTTGCAAACGAAGCGCATCCCACAGGGACACAAACACCGGGTAACCGCTGTGCGACATATGTGAGATTAGCCATGAACACATGCACGCTCGTCAGATCTGTCAAGGACAATGGAAATGGGCCGCTGTTGGGATGCAGCGCCGGTTGTTGACACATGCCCTCTGGAGACAATCCCTTTGGAGACGTCTCTCCAGTTTCATCTGCAATAGGTACATTAAACAATGACAGGTGATAATTGGCAAATATGCTCCCATTTAGGAGCTGGATGATTAAGTTAGAATAATCTTTCTGTGCATGATCGGCTGCTTTTGAATCCATGATCAGAGACGGTACACTGCCTGTTTTTTCCTCATTAGGCTCCTAATGGCGCCTTGTCTTACCGGTGTCTTATTGGCTTTAATGAGAGAACACAGAGGGATCCTAGAATCAATAGAAATATCCAAGAGGAATATTCAATGTCTTTCATGATGCATTATTGTTGTGATCTGGCTTCTGTGAAGCATTTGAATTAAAGGAGAAATCAAAAAGATTATATTAACAGCAATGAGGATGTTAGTTCTTTGTTGTTGCTTAAACTGCCTCCATAAACATGCATTGAAGACCATTGTGCAAAAAGAATCTGCAGCACAGTACATCCATTGTTGTTTACCTGGAGACAAGGAAGTGTGTGTAGTGTTGTCTGACATTGTAGCTTGTAGATTTCACACTTTACTGAAAGTGTCACCGTTTTCCTTTACATGCGTGCGGAAACTACGCCTCTGTGTTTGTCAGAAGACGTGAAAAGAGACAAATGGAAAACTAACGCAGACGTGCAGACAAACCACATAACAGACTCTGCTTCTCTTCCCTCACACTTCTGGTCAGGTCTTGTTTTTCTGAGTTGCAAATGAAAAAGCTAAACAGCTGCATGACATCAGGTCTGGAAGTCATTACCCCAGAACAGACATTTAACTCTTGCTCTCCACGTCTGGCTTTTGGAGACAAATAAAAAGAAGAAAAAAAAAGGGGAAACATGTTTTTCGTTATGTATAACTACTTTCCAGTTGGATCTGTTTATGGCCATTGACAATTGACTATTTCCACAGTTAGAATCTGACAATAAATCTTCTAACATCCATCCCATTGTTGTTAATTTGTGAGTACACGGAGTTTACAACGTGTCCCACCAGCTTTGTTTAACATAGAAAACATCTGCTCTTACCCACATTCTCCTTTCAGGGACTGAAGAGGTGGAGGGTCCACGTGTGGTGAATGTCATCCTCCCAGACCACCGCGGTTATTTCGTGCAGCATTTGGGCTACTTCCTGGCCACTTTCCTGCTGCTGGCCTGCATCGTTGTCGCAGTCATCATGCTGACTCGACGACGCAAAAAGAGAGGTGCTTTGTGTGACCGTAACTCACCTGCTTCTCTCTGCTCATACCTGCTTGTAATTATGAACGTAACATTGTCAGAGACATGGATACTTTGTGGTTTGAGACCACGTGTTGAATCTTTTTTTATTCGTATTTCCAGGTCTCGAGTATGACCTGCGTCGACATGATCGGTAAGAGATTATCATACGTTACATCTTGAGCCGTTTCTTTCCTTTGAATTGGACTGAATTTTAAGCAGAACAATGTTTTTTTTTCCTTTGCAGGGTAAATGTGATCAGTGGAGGTGAAATGACGTTAGACTGCACAGAGCTGAGGACCCGTAACCAAGAACCCAGGAATTCAGGTACAGTCAGCTTCCTCCGTACATGCAAACACACACTAGTTTTACAAAAGAAAAGCTGCTGTCTCATAACTGGTACGTGTGTTGTAATCCACAGAACTCAAAAACAACCTACTGAAAGAGAGTAACATGGCCAAAGACTGCGATATGGGTGAGCAGACATCGTGCAGTTGCGTATCAGTAAATAAACGTCCACAGTAGCATCGTTATAGGAAACATAATGTTTTATTAATATGACGTCTGTCTCCACTTCGCTGCCTCAGACTCCGGGAAGCTGTGGAAATGAGAGCCATGTCTCTGAGGCGCTGCTGGCAGGTCCAGGGCAAAGACCGGGAGGGCAAAGGACTGTGGAGAGAAGGAGGGGGAAACAAGAGGCAACCCAGGAGAGGACAGGAGGAATGCTCCCTCTGCTGTAACGCTAACACACCAAGCTTTTTCATTAAAAGCCACCACATTTGTTTTATGACTCATTTTTTGAATTTAACTTGCATTTTCACCAGGTCCTATTCAGTTAAAGATAGAGTTGACCCTTACTTTTTGCATTCATTGAATAGCTTATGTTGAATATTAAGCATTTTTTACTCATTCTTTTGAAAAAGTGCATGCTGTTTATGTTTTATGTGTACTTTTCATGCTTACAGACTTGTAAGTTTGCAGTTTTGAGGTGTGATCTTTTTTTAACTAAGTCTGCTGTAGTGTAATATCTAAAGGATTTTCATTATGTTTCAAAGTTAATGTCTGTGTAGGTCGACAGTGTTTGAAAACAAGGTGAACTTATTTCTAGCTCCCTAATAAGACTTTTTCATTTCAAAACTGTGGTTATTTTAGAGATGCAGACTGCCAGACTTCATTTATTTTCCAAATACTATTTTTGTTTCAAATTGGTTCTGTGGTAATTTATAGTGAAATTTAATAGTCATAATAAATGGACTAAAGGCTCGGTGTACCAAAACTCAGGAAACAAATACATAATAACTGCTATCTGGTTTTAATGGGCTGCATAAAGTGCAGGTTTGTAAAACACTAACGTTTCATAACTAAACCTGATGATACGAGTTAAGAATCTGTCTTAAGCGCCATGAGGTTCACAGGAAGAAGACTGTCTCCTATCTCAGTAACGCTAAACCACAAACTGTAATCCTGTCCTGATTTTGCTGTCTTCTAGACAATATTTCTTCTATTAAGGGTTTGCAACAGTAGCCACATATGCGTCACTCTCTGTTCTTGTTGTTAAGAGGGTGGGACACACAGACGTTGACCAATAACATGTGATATTCATTGTATCAGCACAGTTGTAGGTAAGTAATTTACTTTTGTTTTGCATCATGAGATAAGTGAACCACTGTAGTGTTACAGGTAGTTAACATGCTGTTGTTCATGTCACATTGTAACCAGCCAGGCATTACTAAGCCTTCACCTATTGTCACCCCATCCAGTGATAATAAAGCAGTTACACTCATATGAATGTCTAATAATTGGAAATGGCATTTTTGGAAAAGCCTATTCTATTTTTTATTATGGCCATACCTAATATTTAATAAGCCTATATCTACTAAATGATACCAAACGGAATTAGCCTGCAGATTATACTTTCCCGCCAATCTCCCACATTACTGCTATTGTATTATATATATATATATTTTTAGAAATCGCTTATAACATATTTTGGATATTTTTTAGTATTTTAATTTGAAAATTGTGTCTATTCCAATACGATTTGTGTCAGCAATGCCAAAAAAGGGGAAAAGGGTCATTGTGTATCTTGACCGAGATTTTTTTATTTTTTTAAATTTTTTTTTATTGTATTCTATTCAAAGAATATGCTATTAGCTTTATTTTCTACCGCCTCGCGCGGTAATGTGGCGGCTTCACGGTTCCTCTTTGTTCGCGAGGTCCTTCCCGTGCAGCTCGCGAGAACCCGGCTGTTGTATAAACCGGCCCGCGCGCGCGGCCCGGACACGCCGCTAGATGACAGCACCGTCCAACCAATAAGCTGGTGGGGGGGTGAAAAAAACAGCAATATTCCCTCACTCCATATCGCAAGGATGTGGACTGTCCCTTCCTGTTTTAGTGCCGAGAGAGCCACCGTACCGACTCGCACCGGAGCAGGAACACAGGCGACCGCAGCGCGATTATGTCGGGATTTCCGCGGCGTTGGTCCGACACACGCAGCCGGGCGCGCGGGTTCGCCGTTTAGGGAACGCGGGTATGTTATTCTGCGGGTAGCTGGTAACGCAGCAGGGCCTCTTTATCGCGCCGCCGACCCTCGTTGCTTTCCCGTGTCAATGATTGTCCTCCCCTCACTCTCATGGCGGAGACTAAAATAATATACCACATAGACGAGGAGGAGACTCCTTATCTGGTCAAGCTGTCCGTTTCTCCGGAGAAAGTCACCTTAGCGGATTTTAAAAATGTCCTCAACAACCGACCGGTCAACAGCTACAAATTCTTCTTCAAATCGATGGACCAGGATTTTGGGTGAGTGGCCACCATTATTATTATTATTATTAGCACCCCGTTTGTCGGGCTCACTCGCTAATTTGTTATTGCGCTGCGTGCGCGAGCGGTGTGAATGACATGACAACAACATACATGCATATCCCGGGTCCCCCGCGGGGGGGGGGCGGCAATTACATGTGTGTGTGAACTTGCGTGTCTTGCTTCCACGCTCCTGGCACCTGCTCGCTGTGGGCGGCGTGTGCGCGCAGCGGCGCAGGCACGCGAGGGTTCCAGGTGATACCAGATCCGCCCTGAGCCGCGATGACGCAGAGCCAGAAAGAACCGTGCCCGGCTCCTTCGCGTCCACGCATTAACGCATTAACGCACGCTCACGCGCTCCGGTTTCACGTCGTCTTACTGGAGTAAAAGATGAGCCCCCCTTTAAAAACATTTTTTTTTTTAAAGAGGAATGTTTTATTCTCCCGTGTAGGATGTCCCAGGAAGTTGTCTTCCTTTACACACAATGGACTGCAGGGAATACGACCACTCATGTAACCATTTAATGCAAGGAGGACATCTGTCAAACAAGGCCACATCCTCACGACCTCATTTTTAACGAATCCATTATAAGCTGCGTTATTACAGTGACATGTAGTTTAAACAATGCAAAGTGAACACATTTCTACACGTTTCAAGCCCTGATTAGTGTTTGTCGTTGCATCAGTTATGGAACAAAATAGAATATTCAAGGAAACATTAGATGCCATGCAATGCAGTTTCAAGCCGATGATTAGTAGCCCAAATAGAATTAGCCTTCACAGTAACTCACTTTATTATTTCCCCCCCGTTGAATAACACACCAGAAAGCAACGAGAGCCACTTCCTTTATTAGCTGGACGCTGGAAACATTTCTCCCTGCTCTGCCTCCCTTTTGTTTCCTCGCCGTTTCTCCTCTTTGTGATCCCGTCCCGACGTCCAGGACGCCACAGCGGGTCTGCGTAGCTCTCCGGCTCTCTCCGTCTGCGAGATCTAGTCTTATCGGGGGCCTCTTCTGTGGCTCACATCTCTGCGTCGGTGCCGGTTTTCTGATTCCAGTCCGATCAGTCACGCGTGGGGGAAAAAAAACAAACCTGAACGGTAATCGCAAGCAGGATTGCAGGAAATGCAGAGGCGGGCAGGCGGCGTGCGTGGAGCCAAAACGTCATACATTCCCACTGCAGCCTGACCTTGTGAGGGAAACCGTCTCTTCCTGGTGGCGGGCTACAGGTTTTGGTGAGCCGCCCCCCACCCGCCCGGCTTCCTGCCCTCGGTTTGCAGGCCGGACTGCTCACTAAGGCCTCAGGTGATCGACAGGCAGATTATGGAAACAAACAATGCGTGTTTGCTTTCTCCACATAAGAGACGAAGCCCCATGTTGCGGGAGAAACGCCGGCTCCCCCCGGGCGCGTGCATCAACAAAGCACGTCGCACTACGCCGCGAATTGGACATTGGCGAATGTTTTCACACAGAGCCGTTGTGCCGCAGTCGGTAAAGGCGTCTCCGTCGGCATTCCGGCCCTTTGAGCTGAGGCCGAATACTCCGGCTCTGTGAGCGCCGTATGGCGCTGGCACGGTATGGGAGCGAAAACCAGTCCAAAGCACAGGAGGATAGCAGCACTTTGTGGTAGCCGTTCTGGCTGCACTGCAAGCACACACACACACAGACACACACACACACACAGACTCGATGGCTTCTGGAGAATTAGCGAGGGAGGAATAAGACTGCAGAGCACGGAGGGAAAACATCAAATCCCTCGCAGTTCTCGACTGTGTTTGAAATGTAAATGAGCAGTCAGCGCGAGGTCCTCTGTAGTAGACCCCCTGCTGCGCAGAAAAAAAGAAAAGAAAAAAAACGCCATCTTTATGTGGGATTGGTGGGCCACATTCGTGCCGGCGATATCAGCTCTCCAAGCAGCGGCCCGCCGCACACACATTTCTGATGAACGGGCCTTTTGCACCCTAATCGCCTCGGCCCGCTGCAGCGAACATGTCACTTCGGTTCCCTTTGGAGTCGCCGGGGATACTTGGAAACGTCGCCTATGGCGTTTATATGGCATTAATATGCCATTATTATGACAGCTTGAATGATGAACATTTCTTTGTGCGCACACACCCCCCCTCCACACACACACACACACACACACACACGTAACATTCACTCATCAATATTCAGAAGGCAGGCAGGAAGCTCGTTGAGGGAGTGTTGTTTTCAAGCACCAACACACTTGGGCTTTTTTTACAAGGCGATGACACGGCGTTTTGTGGTGGGCGCGCTGGTGGCGAGCGGGTTCGAGGCCTCGCTATAATAATGCAAGTCACACAGGCTCTCCGAGGAAGGAGGCCAACCCCGAAGCCCCGGAAGAAACAGTCCTGTTTGTGCCTTAGAAAAACAAGGGGGGGGGGGCTGCTGTGGGAGTCTTTCTTCTGCGGAGGTAGGGGTGCTAAGCCCCCGCAGTTAAGAGGACAAAAATCTGCAGCTCGCCGCACCAATGCACCTCTGCTTCGCCTCGCCTGCTCTCGCTGAGGATAGCGGCAGATTTTGCAGGTTGTGCTGCGTTTGTGTCGTAATAGGGTTTACAACAAGAGTCTTTGTTAGACCTTGTTATCGTACCGCCGTGGAAGAAAATCACACGGCTAAATCCGGCACCTCTGTCTCACGCTGTCTCATATTGAAGTCGATCTATTTACGATTATGTTTGACTGCAAATATTTTACCACTACCACGTCTAATCCCCCCCCCCCCACCCGCCAGAACCCCCCCAGTAGTGGAATATCCAGCCATCTTGTGTCACTAACCTGTAAAATCTGTTAAGAAGGGACCACACCAGACATGTGCTCATCCCTCATTTGTGTGTGTGTTGGGGGCCTGACACGATAAAGACGTCATCTGTCGTGATTAGAATTGTTTCTGGTTGCTTCAGTTCTTGTTACAGATATGGTAAAGAAATCCATTTGGCAGTTCCTTCGAAAACCTTAAAAATACGCTTACAAGTGGACCTTGTAACCTTTCGGGCCGCTCCCACATCCTCTCAAGTCACCTTGCAGCTGGCCGTGCAGCTCGAGAGGGAGGATGCAACCACTTCCTACCTAACAAGCAGCCGTCGCCCCCCTCTTCCTCCCCGAGGTGGAACGGGGCCACGGGCGGCCAGTGGGCCCGTTCCAGCCGCAAGGCCACGTTATCTCTGTCCGCCACTCCCGGCAGTGCAGCTCCCACAACAACACGAGCGGCTTGGTTAATAATTTCAGTAGTGGAGAAGTTCTGGCGTGCGTGTGTGTGTGTGCGTGTTGGAGAGGCGCGGGGCGGGTGTGGGGAAGGTGGGGTAGGGGGGCTGTAAAGTTGCTGTCAGAGACACCCCCTGCGTAGAATCTTCTCAGGCTTTCCTGCTGCTCTCAAGCCGCGCCTCTCCCCTCGTCATGTGGCAGGAAGCTAATGTGAGGTCTCCAGAGGGTCTCAAAATGTGCTTCTTTGCGGCAAACGAACATTTCCCCCAAGATACAAAGGAGGGTTTGTGACGGAACCTGTTAAATGTGCACGCCGGTGTGCACAGAAGGTGTTTGCCCGCTTATCACCTGAGCCCCCTCGGCGAGCTCCAGCCACCCTACGCGACACACGAGCCCGGCAGGTGTGGGGACTGGTTGTCACTGAAATGTGTCCCAGCAGGTCAAAGGTTAACTGGGAGGTATTTTGGTTGGGAATTTACAGCCGAAGATGTACACACACACACACAAGTTCACGAGCTTGATCGCTCTATTAATACGTACTCCTCTGCCTCGACGCCCTTCTAAACGCTTACGTACGCCTGTCAGTCTCTCACTCCCTCAATCTCACCTGTGCAGGTGACTATCACAGCCAGTCGTTACAGATTAATGGTTCTATCCGGACCGGTTGGACCGGTCCTCATCGCGCTAAACACGCCGAGTGTCACTGGAGGGCCTTGATTCATGTTCATGAATCAATAACTCAGAGGCTCAGACGCTCTC